CCCGCCCGTCCCCGCCCCGCCGGCAAGGTGTCAGCGCAGGACGCCACGGGCAGCGCCGCCCCTCGGGGCAGGCCAGGCCAGCGCCTGCCTGTGTTCACTGTCTGTTTGCCCCGGGAGTCAGGTCTGGCCGGAGGGGCGCCGGGGGAGGCGCTCCGTGTGAGGCACCGCCACCGCACATACCGCGACGAGAAAATTCCGCACTGAGTTTGATGGTACGTAGTAAAATTGCGCTCTAATTTGGTTGAGATCGATTTGGTTTTGACCTCTAAAGATTTGCAATCTTGCTTTCTAATTATAACAGTACAATATACTTCATACAGGGTAGGGGTGGGTGATCTGCGCCGTCCCCGAGGCCGCGGCCCCTTTTCTGGCTATACCGTCGCTTACGTAAGCATGGTACCGTGCCTTATGGCCCCGTAAAGAGTAAGAGCGTATGCAACCCGTCCGCAACCCTCAATCCGGTACAGTGCAACCAGAAAAAAGGGGGACGGCACTGATCACTCACCTTGTATTTCATTCTTGACACACTGTCCTATTTCTTAACAATCATTTATTTAAAATATGATGGGCATGTTCCAGATGTTTCAGAGCGGACACCGCAGTGTTGCGGGTTTACATACCCCCTTTGCCCGTAAGACGCCCTAGCCCATGCGGATCTAAAAAGTTTGCAATCCCGCAACACTGTTGTGCCCGCTTTGAAACACCCGGTAGTGCTATCTCGCCATCACAATTAACAACTGTTCTCAATATAAGATATTTTTTTGGTAGCTACAGATCAAGATTACCATATCGCCTGCCAATCGCTTCTCCGCCCACCAGCTTTGTTTTCACCTCCCTCCCCTCATGACCGTTTCTGTAGAAACTGCCACACTGTGCTGAGTGTCCTATACTGGCCCCTATCGGCCGGGGGAGACCGCGGGTTCGTCTTCGTATCGATTCGCTGCAACCTGCTGCACCGCATGTGGCGGCCAACAAGTCAGGCGCACGCAAAGCTCCCCCCTGTGTTGTGCCCTGCAGGGCGCCCTGGGAGGCGTGCGTGCATCCGCTAGCTGTCCTCACCTGGGATGGTGAAGGTGATGTTGCCAGTGAGCTCCTCCAGCCAGTCATCGTTGGTCCAGCCCAGCCCGAAAGGCATCACGACGGCTCAAGACCAGAACGGGTGCCTCTCGGTTTCTCTACTCTCTTGCCTCCCCGATCAAATCTTCATCCGGATCCACAGGAGACGGCGTCCATTCTGTCGATGACTTTCGGCTCCAGCGTGCGCGCTCTCGAACAATGTGCGCACCAGCCTGCAAAAATGGGAAAGGATCACATATTTAGTCGTCGCCCCGTGTTTGAGGTTAGGTCTCTCGAAGATGCTGCTGAGGGGTCTGGTGCAGCGATCTGGGCTGAACGGACGCGCAGTCCGCGGTCAACGTCGCCCACCTGCGCCTCCGCTAGCTCCAGGTCCGGGCCAGGTCGATGTCGAGCCGCGGAAGGTGTCGCCTGTCGCCTCCGGCGCGAGCCCGCGCGCCCACTGCTGGGGTAAACACTGGGACCACGGGGTGGCGACCACTCACCTGCCTCCCGCGGGGCGTCGCCCCTCCGGATCCTGGCGGCCCCCACGGACCCTCCGCGTGCTGCCGCGACCGTCTCAGCGTCCCGCGGCCGCGCCCGTCCCGTCGGGGACACGCCGCATTTCGCACAAAACACGCAGAAACGGAATCGGTCGCTCGGCGGGCGAGGTTGTTTCCCCCAGTGCCGCCAGTGGCACCATGGGTGGCACCCAGCCCAGCCACAGCCCTGCAATCGATCTCACGGCCCCGTCGCGTTCCCGCGCTCTCCGTGCCCGGGCCCGCGCCCCCTGCGCCCCGTACGGTGGCGCCGCCTGCTGGCCGGGCGGGGCGGCTGCAGATACCCCGCGGCCCAGCCCGCGGCTGTGCCTCCTGGAGTAGCGTCACGGTGCTAACAGAAAGGGGGGGGGGAGGGATCGCTGCGCCGGCCGTGGAGGAAAATTAAATAAGATAAAGAAAGCGAGTTGAGATCGAGCCGGGGGGCAACAAGAAGAGGAAGAAAAGAAAGAGTTGCCGAGCTCTCCCTCGCGCGCTCGCCACTCGGCATCCATTTGGACGTGACCATAAGTCCGTGGCCAACAAATGAAATGCCGCAAAGGAGGAGGGGGGCGGCGGGCCGAGCCCAAACATTCATGACCAAAATCTCCCAATTAGGGAATTCCACTCCTGCGTCTGTGAAGGTAAAGGACGCTGACGGCCCGGCGCGGTCCGGCCCGCCGTCCTTGATGAGTCACAGCCGCGATCATGAGCGCCGCCACGATGCTCTTGCACATGCACGCCCGCGTCGTCCGGCCCACACAGGACTTCGGGCGCTCTATTGGAATCAGTGCAACTTCCCATGGCCCTGACCTTTCAATTCAAAACAGCAGTAAGGTTTTGTGTGACTCTTGTGACGTGCCGAGACTTATACCCGGCGCTTGTTTTCTGGTCCTGCTGCGGGGGGCAGCCGGCATACCTAATTAGAAACAATAAAAGATGGTTGCGTCACGGTATAGTCACTCGTCGATCTCGTGCTCCGCCGTGCTGTCCACCTACAACGTCTCCCCGCTCCCCGTCCAGGGGTGGAGGGGAAAGGGGGGGGGGGGGCAAGGGGACAGCGGCGGCGGGCGACAGCGACAGTGGTCCTATGCCGGTTCAGGAGGCACTGGAAGACTCCCAGATATTTTAATGAGCAGACCTGCCGAAAGCTCCCTTCCCCCCTCCTCCTTCCCCTTGGCCCCCTCATTCCTCTTCACCTACCTGTAACAGACTCCCCCTCTCTCTGTCCCTCTCACCTTTCTCTCTCCTTCCTTCTCGATGATTCCTTTCTCTCTCTTTTTATCCATCATTTCTTTTGTCACTCGCTGCTTGGTAAATTTCCTGATCCTCGCCCAGCTAGTCGTGGGCCGACGGACAGCCTGATGACCAAAGAGGGGCGGTGGGGGTCGGGGAGACTCAGAATAAGGGGAACAGTGGGGAGTGAGGGGGGACAACACCCACTCCTTGGCGCCCTTTCTGTGGTTCATTAATCAGCCTATTGATAGATGCATATCGGGTCACCCGACTGAGAAAGGAGCCGCCGCCGGCCGATCGAACCAGAGGCCAGGCGGAAGGATACTGCAGCAAGTTTGACGGTGTTGATGAACCCCTCGAAAACTCTTCAGCGTAAGCCCAGCCTCTCCAGCATCCCACACAAGCCACAGAGAAGGAAACCGCCCAAAACTCAAAAATGTCGACTATCATGAGTTTGGCGTTGGCTGCAGGTGTCGGTGGATATTTCCGGCCCAGCGGAGCACGTCATTGTACTATTACCAGGTGTCTGATTTACTCCGCGCACGAGCGCGGGTCGACTTGGTGGACTTGCCTATCGCCCCTATTCACGGCGCCTTACGGGTCGAACGAGTAGAGTAGACAACCCGCCCGCACATACACTAAGAAAAATGTTTGGTCACCACGGCCGGAAAATTTGGTTGCTGTCATTACAATGGTGATCAATCTGCCCCCTGAGTCATAACCATAGAACGTTCTATCGTGCTGGCTGAGCGTTCAGACGCTCTAGCCAAACACTCCAGCCAGCACGATAGAACGTTCAATGCTTATGACTCAGGGGGCAGATTGAACACCAGTTTAGTTACAGCAACCAAAATATTTTTCTCTGTGTAGGAATGCAGTGCTCCATCACTAAGAAGTGCGGTGGGTCAGCCACCTATGGGATTTTCCCCCTACGTTTAACCATGCTTTCATAGCAAACACCCCCTTGGCGTGTCCTATCGGCAAAATGTGACGTCACACCCAAGTGTGACGATCGCTCTGGGGAGACCGCCGCACGCCGCACAGCTCCCCTGCAGACCGTATCCGCCCCCGCCCCTCCGTCCTGTTTTGACCGGGGGAGTTCTCCAATCGCTCTCCTGCGGGCGCGACAAGACCGCCAATAAAGCGGATTCAATTACACGTGCGACACCGTGGGACACGGCGGGGACGGGGGACGCGAGGAAGGCGTGGGACAAGCGGCGAAAAAAGAGGAGGATAAGGGTGGGGGAAGTGCAGCCGAGAGTGCAGCTCGGCGGAGCAGAGCGCTCCTGGAGTGCAAGTGCGTTGCCGAACGCAGTAAATTAGTGTACCGGTGGGGGCTCAGAGCCTATCCAGGCCTGCGTCCGAAACAGGCGCAGCCGCGTCGTCGTCGCGGGCGAAGGAGATCGGGGGGTCCGACGCCGCCGTCGCGCACGCAGCCCGGAGCGCGGGGATAGCGGCGGCCTGCGTGACGAGAGCGGCAAAAAACGGTATGGATTTCGTCGTGGCCATCATCAAGTCCCCCCTGCTTTATCGACCTGAAGAAGCGTGCATCGCTCAGCCAATTATATGGCAGAGTGTCAACGCTTCTTGTCATTGAAGCGCTCACTGCGCCGTGTATCGCAATTAACGCGAGCTGCGCCGGGCCGGCCGGAGCTAGTTTTGCTTTGTCCTCCTCCCCCATAACCCCCGCCGCCCGCCGCCCCCGGGGTCGTCCTACAGCGGGGCACGACTACAGTCGGAGCGGCAGCAAGCCTGGGCTGTGGCCGCGCCCAGGGGGTGTGATGAGCCCCGTGCCGAGCATGGCCCGAACCGACTGCGCGCGTCTCAGCGCGGCGGAGCAGGCCCCGGTGAATGGAATGAATCGGCACCGCTGCGAGATGGACCTGAAGTTCCCCTGGCCCCGGCAGCCCACCTGTAACGCGTCGCGGCGAGGTTTGAGCGGTAAGTTGACGTAATGACGATGATTTGCTTGCTTTTGGACTGATACGGACTGATAGATTTGTCATTTTGAGGACAAAGAAAGCCAACTACAGGTCAGTTTTCGGCTCCAAACGTTTTATGTCTCCTTGTAACCCCGTTGACGAGACTGGCCGGTCTCCGCGCGAGAGAGATCGACGTCATTGTTTGTGACAACGGCGGTGCGCTCGCCCGCCAGTCGCCACGAGGTCGGCCGCGCTGTCCAATCAGAGAGGAAGAGAGAATGTCCGCCGCGGGACAATCTAGAGAGAGACATCGCCAAGGTACATAATCGATCTCTTGTCACGTGACCGGGTAGCGGGCGGCGGGGCGGCGGGTCGGGGAGGGGCATATCAATAACGAGCGGTCCGACAAGATCTTAAAACAAGAGAGGCATGCGGCTGGCCTGTGGCCTGGGCGGGGCGGGGCCGGGCGGGGCGCACCGGTTAGCTGTATGGTCCCGCCTCCGGGCCGCCCCCGCCGGCCAACCCCCGCGGCCACCCCCGAGCCGCCCCCGCCCCCACCGCCCTCCGCACGCAGCCCGTGTCCTGCCTAGGCTAGGCCCATGTTGCGATGTCCCGATCGATACCCTATAGGTTCAACAGAGTCGTGACTCGCAGGCCGGGGGTCCTCGCGCCACGCGGGCGGGGCGAGGCGGGGCGAGGCGGGGCGCGGCGGGGCGAGGCGGGGCGAGGCGGGGCGAGGCGAGGCCGGGCATGGCGGTTAGAGACTTAGCGCGGGCGTGCTGATCTGACTGGCTGAACCCGCAGATCGGACCAACTCGACCCACGAGCGACGCACGCACGCATGCCCGCGCAAAACGTCAACCTTCCCACTCCCTTTTCTAATATTCGCTCTACCTCCTCCAATTTCCAGCCGGCAATCGCCTCCATAAATCAAGTCCGTATCACCTCTAATCTGAGCGGCCGCGGGTGCGAATGCAGTCGATGGTTATCCGCCAGGTCCTGGCCGAGCGGCTCATGCAACTCACGGCGCTCGCGCTCGCCCGGCTGGCTGGCTGGAAGAAAGGGGCCAAGAAATTGAGAAAGGTCACAATAAGATGGGAAAGGAGGGAGCAGCCTCCTCCGGGCGAGTCCTTCAAGGAGAGAGGATGTCACTAGCTGAGAGAAAGCCATTCATTGCCATTACGGCTTCTTTTTGCTAGATCGGCCCGGCCTGGGATAAAAATGCCTAGGGACAATCATCATGGACATGTACTGATGAGGTGCCGCATCATGGCCCGGAATTGCTACTATACTGACTATCGGCTTGCTGCAATGCAAACTGCATTGGTGCAAATGGTAACAAGTGCACTGCCCCGATACACACGTTTTTACGAAATCAAGGGTAAAGAGCAACGCTCTCATATAGGTGTGCGTTTTGCGTTAGAATTTTGAGGAAAATAAGGGCTTCACTCCCTGCTCGGGGTGATTTCCATGCTGCCGTGTGGCGTGGCGTGGCGGGAGCGCTAATGCCCGCTCTGCTGATGGCCGATGATAGCCCGGCGCTGCCCGGTGATGCTGATGATAGCCTCCCGTTTACGCGCGTCCTGTTCTGGTCCTCGTGGGAGCTGAGGAGCGCGGCGCGGGCTGTTTGGAGTTTGGTCCAGCGCACCCGGTACCGACGTCCACCAATGCGATCGATATGTCAGCAATGTCAGACAGAGCTCGGAAAAGGAATCGTGTACGGTTCGTACCACCAGGTAGCTGATTGACCTTGCCCACTTCTGTGGTTATGCTGTACCGCACGCGCGTGTGCGGGCGGGTTGCCTACTCGCTCGACCCGTAAGGCGCCGTGGACAGGGGCAAAAGGCAAGCCCGCCCGCATCCGTGCGTGCGGTACAGCATAACCACAGAAGTGAACGGGGTTAATCAGCCACCTGGCTGTGCTGTCCGCTGGGGTGCCAGCGTTATGCAGGGGCGTATTAAGGTTGGGCTCGCGGGGAGGGGAGGGGGTGGGGGTCACGGTAGGTTTCCGACACTCAAGGACATGGCTTTTAGACAGTCCCCAAGACTGTCTCTATTTAGGAATTTGTCTATCTTTCAGCCGCTTCGCATGCTCGTGCACATGTACACCGAAAGGTGGTGCTGCACTGCTGCACGCGGCGCAGAGGCACAGTACTATTTATTTTTATTTTTTTAGGGGGTCTATGTGGGTCTTTAAAAAAACACGTCTAGGTTCCATTTCCTTTACCGAAAAATTATGCCCGAACTGAATTTATTTTTCTCCCATCAGTTATTAAAAAATAATAAAAATATACAATATTGATACTCAGCAGAGGAAGGCGCTTCTTACCCGATGCCCGCTAGCGACAACTCGGTTCTCATGCCCGCTAGCTACTCATCATTGGACGCGAGCTATACTTTGCTTCACACCTGTTGTGCGCCGGCCAATATCTCCACACATACCCTCCACTCCCCCCTCCCCCCTTTCCTTCCCAGCCCTGCACACACACACGGCGCGCCCAGACACGGTAGCGATCATATTCCTTGCAAGGTTCATAGCCATCGATAATGACCGTGTTGTTCGCCTCTGTGATTGCTACTGCTCTAGACGCTTAACATGCATTTTTATGAATTTGGGATGATCCTCTTCTCTCTGCTCCCCGGCTTCTTCTCCCGCCCCTCCCCGCCGCCGAGAGCCGCCCCGCCGCCCGGGAAGTGAACTGCTTCCAACTGCATCGCTTCGCTTCGCCGGCCGATCGGCGTGAATTAACTGCATTCCATCCCCGGGCAGGTGGAGTCGGCCCGGCCCCGCCCCGCCACGCCACGCCACGCCGCGCCACGCTGCCGCACAGGTCATGGTCGTTTGGCCTGCCCAGCCCAGCCGATGGCCAGCTCGCGAGCGGTTCAAGTTAGCCACCCTCCCTCACTCGCGGGGCCAGCGGTGGAGGGGGGGGGGCGCACCCGGAGGGCCGATCAGGGGAAACGGACAGATTTCAGGGAAGCGATGCCGGACGAGGACGGGTCTGGAAGGGACCCGGGGACGGGGACGGGACAGAGGACTGATGTTCATCGAGGACGTTAATTACCCCCGGGACGGCGAGCTCCTCGGCGAGCGTCTCCCCCGCGGCCCCACAGGGCGGCCGACGCGCGACACAGCGCTCTCCGCCCGGTGCGCCGCGGCGCAGGGCGTGCTGCGCTCGCTCCAGGTGCTGACCGCGGCCAGCGGCTGCACCCCACCTTACGGGGGTGGTTAACTCAGGAAGTTCCACAAGGCCCAACGTACACTATGAGCCGGGCGTTTCTCACATCGTGTTCCGTTTTCTTCGGCAGTACTCGAAGAGTTACTTTGAGTTGTACTCGAAGTCTCGAAGAGTACTCGAAATTCGAATGCACTCGAATCCCAAGTAGTGAGTACTAGTGTGGGCGAATCCGGAATGTCCGACTATTTCCGAGTGTGCTCAGATCCAACTGCGCACTCTCCGGCGTTACAACGCCGAGTACCACCCCTCGGGCCGGGTCTACCCCCACCCCCTGGCCGTCGTACTCCTCCGCTCCTCGGTCGTGCGTTGGTGCGTCCTCGATTCTCCCAATTCCGTCAGACTCGCCTGCCGGTCAGAATGTAGTTGGCGTCAATGTGGCTCACATCTCTGCGATCTTTGCTCCAAACGAACGAAATGCCTTGCCGCGGCCACGCCGCGCCACTACGCATTGCTACGAGGCTTTGCGTCAATCTTGCTCAAGTCCAGTCCAGGAGGCAGCAGCAGCGGGCAGGCCGGCCCGGCCGATGCGATAGAAGCCGGTGGATAGAGAGATAGAGTGATGGCTGCGCCGGGACGTCGCGGCCGCGATGCCAACAGAAACATTATCAAATTGTCAATTAGCCGGAGAGAGATGGACGAGTGCGCGGCAGCAGCGGCGCATTGATACCTTGTCGCAGTGCCAGTGGCCGTCTGATCCAGATCTGGCTCAGCCAGCCACCACGCCTCGCCCCGCGCCCCGCGTCCCGCCCCACCTGGTGTTTACCTCCCAGAAAACATTACGTCCAGCCATCGGGAGCTCCCAATTCGTGCGCGGTTACGGCTGACCCCGCCCCGCGGACGCGAGCGCGGTGAGCGCGTAACGCGCCCGTGTAGGCGTGCGGGCCGCACTACAGCCCGGTCCGCCCGCCGACCGCGGCCGACCCGCCATTGTTCCCCGCGAGAGCCTTTCCCACGAGGGGGGGGGGAGGGGGGGCAGAATAGGACGTGATTTAACACCGTGCACGGGACCTATGAACCTGCGGGCCGCGCGGGCATAGTGGCGGTCGTCCCTCAGCATCGTCGGGGCCGCCCCCGCAGAGCGCACCTTGTCGTAGACCATAGTGGACGGACCACTCTCGCACCACTGCAGTGTTTATTGCGGTTGTTGTCGTTTGAGAATATTATCACGGTGAAATAAAAAGAGTCTTGACGGGTAATTATGTATTTTGTTTATCTCCGGAGAGAGTTCGGACGTGATTCTACGCCTGTTTGCCGAGCAATACGGTACCGGCGGTCAGGGCGAGGGGGGTGTATACTGGACATAACGGGTAGGGAGGGTTCACCTCACGCCCGGCTCTACTCTACCTCACTCTGCGCGCATTCTTTCATGGTTGCCAACTTGGAAGGCAAATCCTAACAAGAATAATCGACGCACGTCAAAAGCTGCCGCCGCCGCACGGCGTTGTGCAACGAGCCATGAGCCTCGCCTCGCCATGAGCCTCGCCATGAGCCATGCTCCAGGCTCCAGGTCGCGCCGAGGCGGGCGGGTCGAGGGGCCGTGGGCCGGCTTAGGGGCCCGCGCCGTGCCTGCTCTGATTTGTTCTGCTCTGCCCCGTTCCCGCAGTTCCATCGACTTTGGCCGCCGCCACACCGCTCATACCATTCTGTCGTGTTTCCCGGCGGTTCCCCCTGGTTTCCCTCGACAGGAGCGGAGCTTGCCTCGCCGGGGGTACGCTTTATTTACACACGCGTCCCGTCCAGCCCGGGAGCCTGGCCGCGGGGCGTGGCGGGGTAGAGGCGTCCAGCCCATCCCCGCCCTCCGCCCGACTTCAATATAAAACGTGAGATCCGTGGCCGTTTGAGCCACCGGTCCGCCTCGCCCCCCTCCCCGCCTCGCGCCACACCTCGCTCTCTTTGGCGCTGCGTCCTTATTATTCTCGACTGCAAAAAGTCGATTTAGAGTGGGCCGTATATATGTGTGTAGGAAAGATTAGGCCTGCAAATAAGGCCGGTGATCGTAGAGCGCCGTCCAGTCGTGCGACGCCCGTAGGGTGACTGGTGGTGACGCCGCGGTGACGTGACAGCTTCTACGCCGAGCACAGCATCCTTCACTCTCGGCGACACTGGTGCTTACCCTGGTTGTGTCTGCCCAAGAGTGCGCAGGGGGTCCGCGTGGCGAAACGATTGGGTTTGGCAGGCGCAGGAGAGCGCGCTGCAGCGAGCTGCGGGCGTCGCTTGCAGCGCAAGGCCCGGTGGACCCCCCGCGGGGCGTCGAGGCTCACGCCGGGCTCACGCGGGGCTCACGCCGGGCCCCACTCGGTGCCCCCGCTGGGCCCCCAGGGCAGGCAGGCAGGCCGGCCAGGCCCAGCCAGGACTCCATCAGGACGGCGCGGGCTCATGCGTGCGGCCGGCCGGCTTGTTTTTCACTGCGCAGCGTGTCACTGTGAGGCCCCGAGATAGTACGCTCCGCTATCGCGGACGCCGCGTCGATACGGCCGCGATAGCGACCAGCAGCGGGCGCCGCGGTGCTGCCGCGTAAGTCACCCTCGCATTGCGACTCCACTCGGGGCGCGGGCAGCTGCGGGGAACTTGGGTAACAACGGCCATCCATAATAAACTTGACGCGCTGTATCGGTACAGGGAACACTCGGGCAGTAAAACTCGGGGCGGAACGGAAGGCCGCGGTGGCCGCTGCGCTGGTCTGGTCTGGTGGTGCTGCGGGGGCCGGCGCGGGGCGCGCCGGAAGGGAAGGGTCGAGCGCAGGCCGCACCAAGCCCGAGGGATTACCGCGTCAGCTCAGCGCGCGACGCTCTATACGCGGCGGCATTTGCGCGTTGCCGCGCGGAATTTACGCTCCACGGAACGGACGCTGAGCCGCGGGCGGCCCCCATCGGTGGGGAGAAACTCATCATCGCCGCCGGCGGGGCCGATCACAAGTGCGGCAGGGCAGCCGGGGGCGGGCCCGGGGGGAGCGGCGCCCCAGGTGTACTGACCTGCGGCACGGCGGCAGCGGCGCCCCGACAAGAGAACCGCAGCGCTGATCGCCTCTCCGTGGCGCCGCATAATGCACGTGATGGCGGCTGAGGGCGACGGCGGCGGGCAGTGCAGTGCAGTGTTTGCCTCGTAGGGCCCGGCGCCAAAGGTCAGTGGCAGCGGGCGCGCAATCAACGCCGAACGTGTGAGTGAGCCGCTCCTCCTGCTAAGTGCTCCGGGGCGGCGTGGGCGCGGCCGCGGCCAGGAGCAGCAGCAGCAGGAGCCTCCGCGGCGCAGCCGCAGCGCGCTGCTTGTGGTGTGGTGCAGCGGCTGGGCGGCGCCTGCGCACGCCAAAAGCACGCCTCGCCGTCCCGGACGTGTGCCGCCACTCGTGTCGACCGCGGCGCCCGTCGCGCCC